ATGTCTATCAACTGGCTGGTTTGGAGGTTATATGGCTTGAAAATGGGTGAGTGCATTGCTATTCATCGGGATGCAGGGTCTGTTTGCATCCGGCGGAGGGTCTGTGCACCAGGCGCATCACCTCAATTTGGAAATGACCCAGGCACAGATTTCAACTTTGATGGGTCCCTGCCCAGGAACAAGCAGGATAACTGGACCATCCCTGTTGCGGCAATGCCTTTTCACAATATGTGGCCCTGCATGATGAATACTTGGTTACCTCTGGTTATCAGCAACAGAGCTCATATTGTCTGAAGGACCATTAGATTTGTGGTGTTTTAGGAGGTAATGTGCAGTGCTTAGCTTGGCAGAGGATAAAAATTTGGCAGAGGTTGATGGCAGGTTGGTTCTGCAGAGTGTGATAAAAGAATTACATCACTGGCAGAGAAATGTTTGTTGGTGGGTTGCCCTTGCAGTGTACTTAATTACCTACATGTCTGAAGCTCATTCAGATAGGCCATTATGTTTGTGAAGGCAATGTGTGGTGGCTGGTCCTATTGGATATTATAAAAAGAAATTACATCACCGGTGGGGTAATATTTGCGGAAGGATTGCCCTGCTGGTGTAGTTAAATATCTTTTTGAAGTCAATGTGTGAAACTCATTGTAACAGGCCATTATACAAATTTTGCTATGTTTGTGGAGGCAATGTGTGGTGACTGCTCCCACATGGTGGTCCATCGGAGTATTGTAAAAAGAATTACATCATTGACAGAGCAATATTTGCAGAAGGATTGCCCTGCCGATGAACTTAATTTATTCTATTATAAAATTTTTGTTATGTTTTCGGAGGCAATGTGCAGTAGGCTGGTCCCGCATGGTGGTCCGGCGGAGCATCACAAAAAAAATTACATCACCAACGGAGTAATATTTGCCAAAGGATTGCCCTGCTGATGTACTTAAATAGCTTTGTGTTTTTGTGGTACTCCACTTTTAATGCCTCAAAAAGAAAAGCACTACTCCGACAGAGTCATTAAAAAAAATACATTGAATCATTTTGCACTTCTCTGCCAGAGTCTTTTTTAAAAAACAGCACTTCTTCGAT